AAATTGGTCGTGTTGTCAGAAAGACTTATTTGAGCACACTTCGTCCGAAGTCTTCTGCTATATTAATTATCATAATTTCCAGCGATGAACCGTGGACTATTTCCTACACTCCTATAGATAGATGAGCTAGGACAGAAAGAGGAGTGATATCACAACCGTTTTGGCAGAAATTGGGTCAATGGATTGACTTCACTTGTCTCTGATGAATTGTAGCTTGGTGCTGAGAATGGCAAGAGTCACTGGCGATGCCAACCACGATGTCGACTATGATGCAGGCGAAACGTCTGAGAATGTACCATGTCCACGGTCCAAAGCTGAAAATTATGATAACTAATATAGCATAGGACTTCGGACTAGCTGTGGCCAACTTAGGCTCTCTTAAAAAACGACCAAGTTGAAATAACGAAGTCAGCTCACTCCTACATATCGAAAGGAGACCGCAACTTAACCAAAGGCTATACCATCTTCATATATATGGTCAAAATTTGCCTTGGTTTTATAGCATAGAGTATTCTACCGAATTAGATTGGACTCTTTCTTTATACACTAGATATTGGTCCAAATGAAGTGTTTGGGGAAATAATGCGGCTCAAGTCAAAATCTATATTCCCATTGTTGATAAATAGGTTAATTCAACTGAAGTGGAGCATTAAGAGAGAAAGTTGACTCGATTGATTGGTTTAGTTATGCAATTTATCTTACTCATATAAAATAGTTAGTTTGGAAACACATTATCCTCGAAGGGTTATCAATTTAAGATAGAAAAATTCCCCAAATTAGCGCGAACGCAATGCATCGGAGAACTTCATTGAAAGACATAGTTATGCTTCAAAGAAGAAGTTGAATCAACAATAGCTTAAAAAAAGGTAGAGAGCGATCACAGTAAATTCCAGAAGCCCTAGGGGGTCTATTATTTAGAAATCTATTTCATATACTCTATGAAGTAGTGCAAGTTAATAGAAAATCTTTAAGATAAAACAATTAGTAGGCCTTATGGCGAATTATATCCATAAGGCTACTCATTAATAAGGATATATTTGTTGTCACCTGAAAATGTTTTAACGAGAGATAGAGAAATTTATATATTTTGCCATTCCAAGGCCTGAATCTTAGCCTGACTATAGTGACTTAAGAACGCAGATAGATGTTATCGAATTCTCTTTTGCACGAAAGAATTGTTTGCAAGCCAGATTAGGATAGAGATTAGGAATGGGGAAGATCTAGACTGCCACACATTGCAGATGGGAAGTACTCATGATATGGAATAAACTTCGAATCCCAATTATATGTTCGAACATTCTTCCCACAAACTAGATGTTTTATTGTAGATCTGAAGAACAAGATGGTGTGACCTTCTATGTTTTATTACCTGTCCCACAAATTCTTTCGAATAATAACAAATCAACTGCATATATATTGCAGTGGCCAAGCCCTCCTCTTTCTCACCACACTAATTAATCGTAGTTATATCATAATTACATTTATGGTATTTTCCATTAAAAATGTTGAACCGATAAAATTATTCCTTGATTGCACAGGGAAAAGTCTATTCTGCCTCACTGATGTCTAGGTGGTGGGGCCAACTTATAATGGATTCACATTTAGGACGAAAACTCTGGCTTCGACTCATGCTTCTAATGACGATGTCACCTGAGCGAAGTCGAACCCTAGTTTATTTTGACAGTATGGGAAAAAGGACCTCCACATAGTGGAGTAAAAAAAAGCGCCCTTTAACAGCTATATGGACTCGATATTTTAATTCAGCGAACTACTCCTTATATACTACTTTATTCGAGATGCATTCGAAACATTTCCAGTCAAGGAAAGTTAAAATTAGCCTTATTAATAAGTGCTATTTTAGTTTAAACCTCTTTTTCGTACTTGGATGAGTGTATGGCTATAGCCAATGGAATAAATTCCAGCTGAAAAAATCTATTGGTATACTTTGTAAATGTCTACTACTTGAAGAAGTCTACTCAAGTTTAAATTTTTCTTGACTTAGTGTCAACTTAAAGCTTTTGTGAGAATGAATTCCAGCTCCAAGCATGTCCGTCAACTAAAATAGCGGGCGAAATTTCAGCCCATGGTATTCAGGAAAGAGGGAGGGGATTTGTTGTGGACTGAATCAACCGGAACGTTATAGAACAACGAGAATCAACCGTCATTTTCCGGTGAGATCGTCCTATGCTGTATTCAGCTTTACGTGTTATTCAGGGGCATCCTACTTAATATTGTTTCAATAAGCTGTGGAGATATTAAAAGGACAATGCGTCACAACTATACTTGCCTGACTTTGCGATAAGGGTTTAGTTTGAAATAATAGGTGAGATTGCTCAAGCGTGGCAAATATTGGATTTCAGAGACGAAAGAACCAAATTTGCTCAAAACGAAAGACCTGATAATGATGGTGAAACAAGGCAAAAGTAATTGCCATTTACATGAGGATGGCTCGCCGCCAGAAAGCAGTCTGATCTATAGAGGCTCTTTCAGAAAAAGTTAAATACTTTTGGTTATGACAAAGCTTATAAACTAGGCTCACAGTTGAACATATGAAGACCACGTTGGTGTGGCCTTTAATATGGTCACAGTCGACTTGGTCGACCAAATTGCAAAAACAAGGTCAAACAACTGTTAGACCCACAATGACCCAAAAGTATCAACAATACATTTAAAGCTTATATGCGCAATTTAAAACATTATTATCATGAGTTGAAAGCAAAACTTTAAATATTTTGCCTCTATAGCCTTCAAAAGTTGTTCCTACCTTGAGCGGCTCTACATAATCTTCGTAGGCTATGTTATTTATCTGTATGCCTGAAGCCATTGTGTCGTTGTCCAAGTTAATTTCTTCTTTTTGGAGTTGATGGAACACGCGATAATTCGTCGTTCGTAAAACACGATGTTAAGATCTACCACTCCAATAAGGTAAATCAAACGGTCCAGAGAGGGTGGCGGACAACTTCACAAAGTAAGTGTGTGCTGGGCGAGTGAATAAGAAAGATCAATTCTTGCGAGGTTAATTGTTGGTGGCAAGACTTTTCGAAAGGACAATTATCACAAAGAATTCCTGTTGGAATATCTACAATGATTCACGTTGTCTGCAGAGGCTAAAAGTTACCATTCTGTTTGTGTTTGTCACTGTTTACATGTGTAGCTATGCGCCGATGTGATTGAGTGAGTCTATACGTGTGATGTGAAGTAGCAGTCAATGTAGCTTCTCCTAAAGGCGCGTGCGTTCACCGCACTTCCACTCAGTCGGCCAGGTTGCCGCTCCACGCTTGACAAGGTACTGGCTTCGAGTCCTGGAACGGAGGTCGAATTTACGACTGATGAGTTTTCGCACCCGTGCTCATGCTACGCGTTCACAGTGCACACTATGCTCCCACCCAGCAGAGGTCAGGCCTTATATAAGCCCGGCAAGAAACAACGTGGAGCCCACACCAACCAATTGGGTCAAGCAAAGCTAGCACGTGGGACCTTAGACTGTATGCACACACGTGCGTGCTTGTTTCAGAGCAGGCTTTCTGCTCAGGGCGCCATGGCTACCCATCGTCTGCGCCTGTATACGTGTATGCATCTGTCTGCCTCTTTTCTCTGCTTGCACCCAGACAGGCGTGTGTGCTGTCCTAGGCCAGGTCTAAGGCGCCAGCACACATTTGTACATCACGCAGCAGGGGACTGAGTTGAAGCAACTGGACTCTAAAAATGCCTGATCGTTTCTATTCGGAAGGTATATTAACTCAAGTGAGGAGTGCCTCTTAGGCGTTGCAGGTGCTCATGCCTTAACTATTATATTTCTGTCCCCATAATCATGACGCGTTCCTTGCCACAGCCTCGGCGTGAAGCACACTCTGGCAAACTATATCAGACATCCATAGCCACAAGCATGAGCACAAACCCACAAACACACACACACACACACACTTGTGCACTTACACTCACAAGTGCACTGAACTTTCGATAAATTTCATTTTGTGCTATTTTCCACTTTGTACAAATTGCACCCTCTGACAAGTCTCTATGCCACATTTCTGCATTTTCTACATCTCTATCATCCTCTACAAGATCTCGCTTCTAATGCTCACATGCTGAGAATGTACCCATAGTTTAGCTATAACAGGATGCCGAGGGCAGTATGAGCATAACTTGTGCTTCGGGCCGCTTATTGGGGACCACATTGAGACCTCAAAAGAATATAGATGGCAACTCTAGAGACTGTTTTACGAAAATGAGGATATATTTTAAAGTAAACCATAAGTGGTCGCTTTTATGCACCAAGAAACGACTATTTGGACTATAGTATTTGTAGAACTGGAGGTATATGATGACTTAGCCAGTGCACTTAAAGTGGAGATCAAGTTTTGACAGCCAAGTCAATGCCATCCTGTTAGCTTCACACTGTTATGAGCTATTTCTTGCGTAGTGGACAAGCCGATCAGGCAATTGACTTCAATTCCGTTCTCACACCTGTAGTATGCACTCCAAGTCTGTCTGATTGGGTGCTATCGTGTTAACCCCGTCAAGTTGCCAATCGTTTTGAAATGTCCAAATGGCCCTGGAGCTGTACGCATTTTGTTATCGACACATTTCCATTTTAAGTCCTTCCTCTAACAACTCTGCACGCACCCAGTCTAAACACGACCTAAGCGTACTCTATCATCTTCACAATTACAGTTTCTGTCAATGCAAAAGTTCACATAAATTTGGCATTCACTTCAAATCCCACTCTTGAAGCCAAGGTTTACTCAAATCATTCACATTATCTCATCTTCCCAATTGCAGTTATAATATACAACATATATCTGTCCTTAGCTTAGCTGGAACATTACCGCAGCATCTTCTAGCATCATCGTTGCATGGAAGCTGAGTGCAGCATCGTTGCGGACAACTTACTGGAGTTCTACAA